TGGTTCGTCTTGTTTCTGGCAAACAGGACGGTGGTGAGCTTCATGATGTGGAGGTGTTTGACGCCACCATGAAGCACATGACAGGTTGGTACGCCGTCGTCGGCTTCGCAGCTGTTGCCGTCGTGCCGCTGTTGTACACATCTTTGCGAGCGTTAGCATGGAGGCGGAGGGCATTGATTGTGCGGACGGCCCAGTCTTTCTCGCATATTTCCGCGGACGCCAAGGCCGTTGGTCAGAAGTCGACCTGTTCACCGTTTCTCTCGACTTCACGGACAGTTTTGGCCGCACGGCGTATTATCGACGCGGAGCGAGCCACAGATGTGGAATTCGCCAAAGTATTTTCCACGGAAGTGGTGTGTGCGTACGTGGATGTTGTTTTCCGGGGTCTTATGCGATCATACTGTCGGCACTGCATGTTTCACGTGTGTGTTTTTCTGGTGTGCACTGCAGTTGAGGCGCATGCTGGTGGTCGTCTGGCGAGCAGTGAGATTGCTGGTTGCTGTAGTGGTTCTACTGTTACTGGCGAAACGGCGGTTAGTCTGTCAGTTCCCAGCCTGTTTCGGCGGGTGTGGTTTCACCTGCGTCATGGGGCGCTGCTGCGGTTTGCTGCGGAGGGAGTGTCGACTCCATACGCGTTCTTCAGTTTTAGTGTTTCGACTCCTCGAATGCTCGAGCGGTGCTTTCCGTGGATTGGCGTTCTTCATGACGCCGCGTCTCGCTATCTCGGCCCGGGTGTTTACTTGGACAGTCGTTGGAGGTCCCCCGAAGTGGCAGACCGCGTTTGGCGTGCGATGACCCCAAAAGGCTTTGCCGCAATGTGGTGTTGTCGTTGTGTGACGGGTGTTCTTCAGACAAATTGCTTTAGAACAAGAAACGGGCCCGCGGAGTATTTATTTCAGGTATCTGGTAAGGAGCAGGCATCCTGTGAGGTCCACTATTTGGGGGAAGTAAATGCTGCGGATACCGAAGGGGAACGGGAGCATGAATCCTCCTGCATGATTTCTTGGCTGCGTCCTCTGACTCTCTTTGTGATGCGCACGGGCAAAACATCCATGGTGGTGTTTGCCGTGACATCATGTGCCTCGAGGACAAATTTGTCGTGGCTGCCATTTCCATGTGCCGGTGGCCCACAGTATGTGGCGTTGTGTTACACCGAGATGACGCTGATGTTATTGAGCTTATCGTTTTTTATCTTTTCTCCCCCGTTGAGCCTTGGATCACTCACTGCAGCAACGTCATGAACGTGATGCAGCCATGCTTTGAGCGGTTTGCTTATATAAAACCACCCTCTTTGTGTGCACCTGTCCCCTATATATATATATATATGTGCGTGTATCTGCATACAAGGAGAGAGGCAAGAGGAGTGGGAGGAGGTAAAGGAAGGGAGAGGGATTTCTGACGCGCATTGGCGTGCTGAATCTAACTTCTTGAGAATCCGAGGGGAGATGGGGACCGGGCCCAGGCGTGCGGTGCGGAGTTGGATGCATTTTTATGTGGCCGGGGAGGAGGCCGCGGGGGCGCCTAAATGAGGAAGAAGAAAAAAAAAGGAGGGAATTGGAGGTGTGGTGGCGTCGAAGGGGTTGCGGTGACTCCGGTGTCTGTGTTCCTGTGCGTGTTCCACATCATGCCCTTTTTTCTTTGACTCGCCTCTCAGCCAGGATGCAGCCACAGCACGGGAGTTGTGCACGTGGAACACACGTTTCCCGAGAAATATTTCAAGGCAGCACTTTTTCTCGACCATGAGTTTGGAGATATTGAGGCAACCGCACGGCTTGAAGACAGGCAGAAGCTTCTTTTCTACGCTCTGCGGCGGCAGGCCGAGCTTGGTCCATGCACGGGCGCGGCACCATCCATATGGTGGACGCGTGAGCGCACGAATTACGATGCATGGAAGCAACTGGGCGACATGTCTAGATTTGAGGCGATGGTAAATTTGTGAGTTTGCTCGGGGAGTGTTTGGGGGTGAAGACAACTGGATGGGGAAGCGCAGGGCTCTGGAGAACAGCATCTCCCATGCGGCGGACGGCGAATTCTTTGCGGCACCGGACGGAATTGGCAGCACACATTCCCCAGGAGAGGAGCGCACGTGGGACGATGATGAGCGTGCCCACCTGGAGCCCACCGTGGAGACTGCAAGATATTTGGCATCGCAGGTCATGCGGTTGCGACGTGAGGCACATCAACCGCGATTGTCGACAGCTGAAAAACAAACGAGGGAAGGTGTTGCTGTGCGTCTGGCGCCACCACCCATCAAAGCGCCAACGGGCAACGCGGGCTCTCCTCAGAAGGCAGTGCCGGTGCCGCCAGGGAGACCAGTCGCAAGGAGGAGTGGTGGCGTTGGGAGGCCCTCGACTGCCTTTTCCCACCCCCCGGAGACGGTGAATGGGGTGGGCGGAATGGCTTGGACTCATTGAGCAAGCAAGAAGGGGAGGGGAGGAGAATGAAGCGCTCCTTTTTGGAATGCATGGCCGCGATTGGGGCTTCGCTGTTTGCGTTTTTGTTTCAATTAATTGACGCTGCTCTGCTCCTTGTGCCCCGTTTGGGCAAATGTGCCTTTGGCCCGGACTGAGCGTGCTCTGAATGGTGCCCATGGGCTTTTTGGATGCACTCTTTTATGGTGTTCCCTCTCTTGTGTACCCCTCCCATGATGATTTCCCTTCAGCCTCATTTGCATTTTTCTTTGTCACGTCCAGTTGTGTTCATAGCTTGGTCCGATGGCAAGTGCACTGTAACGTCACGCCAACGTCCACAAGGACCCACAAAAATATGAAGCACGTGGCCGGTGTCTTTGCGGAGGGTGTGGCTGCAGGACCTTCTGACCCGACGAGTGTGCGGCGCGCTGACTGTGGGGAGGCGATGGTTCCGTTTCCACGTTTTGCCGAAACAATTGTTCTTCATGGACTTTATTTGTTTGGGTGGTGCAAAACCCGCACGATGCCGATTGGAGGCAACGGACTGCGTTCCACTGGCGGAGGTGAGGCCCGCCATCTCTCGGGGGACGGTTTTCCCGAAGAAGAAAAAGAAGACGAAGAGAATTCGATGGCCGACGACAAGAACAAGTCTGCGCGTCATGCAGGACAGTAGGCCACGCGAGGGACTGAACGCACCACGTGAGGGTGGCTCTTTTCCCCCCGTTGGCCCAAACAACGGCATGAACTTTTCTCCTTTTCCCATTAATACAATTATTACATAAGTGGCAAGCCAAATGCATTATAAAATTTCGACGCAGAAAACAAAGAGACAGTGATATCAAGGCGACTCGCCCAATCACGGCCTCCTCGGGATCGCCCAACCACCCCCAACACCATGCAGCTTATGAAACGTGCAACATTGTTGTTGTGTACCGTGTTATTACGTTTTTTTTGTTTACGTGGGGTGTGCAACTGAATGCAGCTCTGTTGGCTAAAAGGAATATGTGACCGTCTCTCGCCATCAATCTTGGTGCGATCGGTCTGGTACGGTGCGTGAATCCCCAACTTGTGCGTATGGTTGCGGGTCTCCAGCGCGCTTTTATTTCAGGGCTTTTGCTGCTGTTTTACTGTTGGGTGGATGGGTCTCTCCGTCCACTGTTTCCACGGCGTCTCGGGCGAGGCGGGAATGGAAGGCGAAGTTTGCTGCGGAGCTCATGCGGGCGCCAGTTCTCCGTCAAAGGTCTATTCCTCTCGTACTTTTGCTCACTGGCCTTCACGCTTACCCGCAGAATGGGCGGAGCCGAGACGAGCAACTCCGCCCATTCTGCGCGCAGAAAAAGAATGGACGTGTTTCTCTATTAAGAAGACGATACCGCAAAATGAGGATAGAAAGGCGCCCGAATTGACCGTTGTTTTTTTTTTTTGCGTTTTTTGTGTTTTATTCATCTATTTGTTTATTTTTTCTGTGCTTGTTGTGTCTACCCTTTGCTTTTGCTCAGGTTGTTCCCTGTACGGGGTCGCGCTGCGCCTGTTCTCTTTTGCCCATGCACCGTTACGGATGGGGGAGCGGTGCGGAAGGTGCTGGCCAGTGTGGGTCCGTGTGTTGGACTCACGAGGATCCCTTTTTTATTTTGCGTTGGGGACGCTGAAATGTTGAGTTCCTTTTTGCGTGCACAGTAATTACTCCTCGTATGCGTATGTGAATCTTTGCAGGCCGGGGTCCTTCCCCCCTTACAAGGCCGCAGGGATTGTTTCTTGCGTGTCATTTTGCCCGACCCTCTCAAGAATTGTGATCATTCGACTGGGCGTTCCTGCGCCCCTAGAGCTCTCTTTTCACACCGTTGTTGTGCCTCTCCCTTCATTTTGTCTCTACCACGCGAAAATAGTGGACCCACACGCTCTCCCGCACGACGAGTAATATCATGGAATTCGAAGCAATGGGCATTCGAACGCGCTCTGCGACAAGGAACGCAGTCCGGTGGATGGTGCTGTTCCTCCTGCTGCAGTACCTGGGCAGCCATCCCTCCTTTACTGCTGCAGGGGAGGAGGAGAAACACGTGACCATTGGAATCACGAAGTATTTCCACTACGCCAATTCTATATTTAGCAGCAATTTTGGTGGCCGCGTTGATTACAGTAACTCTCAGTTCTCTTGTTTTAATGGTGGAGGCCTTCTTGCTGCGGATCAAACACCTGCTGCACATATTTCTATCGCAGCTCAGTTGAGAGAGCTTGCATCCAATAAAGATGAAACATTCCGTTCGTACCTTGGCGGGACTGCCCAGTACACAGCGAATTCGGCGCCGCCCGAAAACAGGTGTTTACGTGATGAGCGTCGGGCATCGTTAAAATGTATTTACAAGTGGAATGAGGGTGCGTTTCGCGACTCCTCATCCGATGGTCATGGTGTTTCGTTTTTCAGGGGTACAATGTATACGCTTATTGGCGCAAAGGCAATGAACGGGTACGATGCTTATTGGGGCCCTAAGTTGCCTGGGCACGGCCAGTTGTTCTTAATGTTTCGTATGGATACGAACCAAAACGATGAGAAGGCGACGTGGTATGACGGGCAAGGTGTGCCCAGGGGCGATGGAGAAACGCCCGAAAACACATTTGGCGTTGTCTGTGAGACTCAAGAGGGGTACGTCGTCAGCACTACGACGCTTCCACCGACTGTGGAGATTCCGTGGGTGCATAAGCGTTGGTACGTTATCTTGATTGCCATATTGGTGCCGGTTATTGTTGCTGTCGCGATAATCACTGTCTACTTCTGCCGTTCTTGCGGTGGCCACGATGAATCGAAGTGGGTGGTGCACATGGTCTTGCGGGAGGTGAACGGTGAGCCCCTTCATCCAATTGACGGGGATGGTGGAATCTACAACGATGACAGCCCGATGATGCGCTATTCAACGTTGGGTGATGGGGTGCCCATGACTGCTCCCTCTGGATACGAAAACGTTGAGGTCCCTAGGGTGATAAAGAATCAAGAAACCACTGTGTACGATGACGGGGATGTGCTTTAGGTTTTTTTTTTTTTTTTTTTTTACGCCTCTCTGCCGCATTGTGTGTATGTACACGTGTCTCTTGCAGTTCCTGCATGTGCGCCCACTATTTTTGATTTTGAAAAAGACGAGATGTGTGGGGTAATGCAGTGGCTGCTGGGAGCAAGGAAGCACCGTGCGGAAAGGGCGGATCAAAAGGCATGATTTGTTTCCACCACTCTTTGTTTTTGTTTTTGTTATTTTTATTTTTCCTTTCTCTCGGTGTAGGACTGCGTGCGTGTAGGCGGCGTGCCCTTTTTCTCGCCAGCATCTTATCTTTTTCCCTATTTACGCTTGCGGCAAGCCTGCTGTGGGAGGAAAAGGAAGGTGGGGGATAAACGTGTCATTGTGAATGTGTACAATAAGTCGTTAAAACTGTGCCACTAGAATGGGGAGAGTTTTTTTTTTTTTTTAGGAGCTTGTGAAAAGAATGATCGTGGGAGAGCTGGTTAACTTAATTAATGTATGTTTATATCCTGATAAATGAAGGCATTATTTATGATACTCTCTACCGTATGAATCTTTTGGGAAGAACGCGACTTTGTAGGGGCAGGGAGCCGATAGGGGCCAGATAATATTTGTTTTTATTTTGCCATCCCACCCACCCACCCCCTTTTGATTCCCACCACGCGGCGGGGTCTTGTGGTTGGAGGACCCAAAAGTCTGCCACTTCGTAAGTAATAATATGTAAATCCTAACTGAGAACTAAGGACCATGCTAGTGGTCCACAGAATTTATATATATTGAATGAAAAGAAAACATTGAAACAATTAAATAACGAACACTTTTTCCTAACTTGTTTGGTTTCCATAGATTATTTCAGGATTCGGCCAGCTGCCCGGAAGATTTTTTTTTTTTTTCATTATTTATTTTACTCCGAAACATGTGGGAAGAATGTGCGTCACGATGAGGCCGAGCAGATGATAAAGTGCATTAATTAGCCGCCGTTTATTTAGTTATTGATGAATTGAACTTTTTTCGATGGTACCGCAATTAGAATTGGTGGGTGCGGTTTTATTATTATCATTATTTTTTTTATTTATTTATTTTTATTTTTACTTTTTTTTTTCTGTTTTGGGGGCCTCTGAAGAGAATGTCTCGAGGTGCGATGGCTATCTAATTGAATATATATTTCCTGATAAACCGAATATATCCCTGTATGACTCCTTCCCAATTTTGTGATTTTTTGGCTGACCGCGACCGAAGGAATCAAGAAACCATTCACGCCTAGATGACACATAAATATATATATGTGTATTTGTTGTTGTCACAGCCGCAACCGATTCCTGCAGGTTGGTATAAAGAAATGGCAGTGGCCTCCTTCATACGACGACGGAGTGGAGCCGCATCGGCACCCGCATGTTGGGCTTTGTACGCCAACTATGGCGATATTCACGTGCAGTTTATTTTTATTGG